AGCCTAGCGTAGCATAGCATAGCGCAGCATAGCATAACATATCATAGAATAGCATAGCATAGTGCAGCATAGCATAGCATAGCATAGCATAGCATAGCATAGCAGCAAAGCAAATGCTGTTTTCCTAGGGGCTCCAACTCCTAGGTAGGGTCGCACTGGGGAAATCTACGTTTCCTGGCGAATCAGGTTCCCTTTTGGCCACTACACTTTCAGCCTAGCCGAGCTCATCGTCCCTCCGTTCTTTCAAGAAAGACCCGAAGAGGTCTAGCCCGACAAAGCCCGAAGAGGCCCTTTCATATCTTTCCGAATGTATCCGTCCATGGCCATTCTGGTTCAAGCCTTTGTATAGCAGCTCGAGGCTGCCAGGAAATTTACTTGCGGTCTGAACCGCAACACAGCGAGCTGGCTCGCTGAGAAAACGAATTCCTGTGCCGTGTCATCGCGTGTCCAGCGACGCGCTCCACGCTGCCCATTGTCACCAGCATCTTCAAGGAAGAGAGAGAGAGAGAGTAGATACTTGCCGCATCTTCGAGATAGAGATTGATCAGCAGGACAATTTCAAGGAACAGAGAGTAGATAGCATGACATCTTCGAGGAAGAGGGTCCAGAAAAAGCTATCAGGGCAGTGGTCTAAGCGGGGCCATTGCACGGTAGCGGAGCTTTCTAGCTCCACGGACGGTCATCATGGCGAAGTACTTTGGTGACGTGGTTCCCAAGTGGAACGGGGGCCTCACAACGGTGGACGACTACGAAAGCGACGTCAAGGCCTACATTCGTGGGGCGCGCCGGGACGAGCGCTGCGCATGCGGGCCGAGGCTCTGGCGGAAGCTGGAGGGCCGCGCTCGCCAAGCGGCCGAGGGTATCGACTGGGAGAAGCTCGAGTCGGACAACGGCGCGGACTTCCTGCTGCGCCACGTCAGGTCGAAGCCCGGAGCTCAACAAATTCAGGGCGCCGGGAAGTACCTGGCAAGATGGATATTCGACCTGCGCCGGGACAACGGCGAGCCGATGCCGAGCTACATCAGCAGGGGCGACGAGGCGCACCGCGACGTGGTCAAGGGTTTCGACACTGAGGATTTTTCAGCGCCAGAGGACGGAGCGGCTGTCGGTTAGAGATAAGGAGTGGAACTGTCTCTACCAGGAGCTGAAATGGTTTCTCAACAAGATTGTGTGCGAGGGCCCAGACGACACCGCAGAGAAGGCCAGGAGACTCGACGATTGGCTCTGGAACTTCACCAAGCAAGGCGTCGAGGAAATGCCTGAACATCCAGACTTTGGCACGAACTTCCAGCAGGCGACCCCCTTGGATCAACTACGCGGCTGGCTGCTCTTACAGCGCCCGCGGCTGACGCCGACCGAACGCGCAGCGGTTGTCAGCGTCAGCGCCGTCCAAGGGAACTTCGACTACTAGAGTATCGGCGAGCAGCTGCGCGCATCGTGGCCAGACGATGAGCTGGCGAACCACGACAGGAAAGGGAAGGAGCACCAGGGCCGTCACCGAGACCGCGGACGCGTTCACGCGGGATGGGAATAAGACGACGGAGAACTAGACGCTGAAGAGCAGGTCTACTACGAGCAGTCCGAGACGTCGGTCGACACCGAGAACGAGAACGACGACAACCCAGAAAGGCCGCTCTAGAGCGCAGAGGAGATCGAGCAGGCAGAGCAGGCCTTCGCCGCTCAGCAGCGCAATTTGTAAGGAGCTCGAGATCTACTTCGACGCGTGAGGACAGCCAGGAAGTTCTACCCCGTGGATAAGGAAAAGAAGAAAGGTCACTGCGACAATCCTTCAAGGGGACGGCCATCTACTTCGAAGAGCCCGAGGCCAAACAGCAAGCCGTTCGACAATGACAAGCGAACTTCATCGAGAGACCCGAAGGCGAGGACAAGTCGCAGAGGACCTTGCCTGACGTGCGGCGGCAATCGCGAGACGAAGGATCACGAGCCGAGGAGCCAGCCTGCCGACCGCGATCGTGGACCGAAGAAGGGCTTTTCCTTGTTCGTTTTCTACAACAGCCAGCGCCACACCGAGATGGAGGCGACGATGTGATCAAGCACGACAGGTCGCTGCGCGAGCTAGAGGACACGCTGAGCAAGCCAGAGGTTTCGAAGCGCCACGAAGAGAAACTCCCGATTCTGGCCGCGCTGGAAGAGACGAACGACTGGATGCTGATGAGCGTGAAGGAGAGTGCCTACCGGGGCTTCGGCATTCTGGACATTGGCGCTACCTCCTCCATCATCGGGATCCAGGCTGCCGAGAAGCTGTGCGACCTGATCTACGACGCGACGGGCAAAGAACATCAATATGGACAACTCACAGAAGAAGACGTTCATCTTCGGCGACGGCAACTCCACTACCTGCACTGGCAAGGCCACGTTCCCGTTGAACATCGCTGGTATGGATGGCGATCTAGAGGTTAACATCCTGGGCGCCGGCTCTCCGTTGCTGATCGGCGTGGACGTGCTACGGCGGCTCGGAGCAGCGATCGACTGCGAGAAGAACGAGATCTATTTCAAGGAGCTCGGTCGCCGAGCTAAGCTGCTCTCCCCTCCGAGCGGCCACTTTTTGCGCTGCCTCCCGTGGCCGAACCTGCCTTCGGCTTCGTGGCGACCCTCGAGTAGGAGGTCGCGCCCTCAACGCCGATCGCTGCGCCGGCGCTGGAGGGTAAGCAAATAAAGAGCAGCCACAATAACGTGAAGCCACACGAGAGCCCCTACATATGAGCCCAAAGGCCCCGGAAGCCCAAGGTGATGTCCCAAAGGATCCCAAGACGAGTCCACCTACGACTAAAGCACCGGGTACGTCTTGGAGGCCTCCATCAACATCGTGAACGATATCGTCAAGATCATCAGCGGGTTTCGGAAGATCACAAACGGCGACTCTCGGAATTTCGGGTCGAAACGGCATCTCCGATACCGATTTCGGCTACTCCTGGGACTATGATTACGGAAACCACTAGCACTTCGTTTACATTAACATCTTGGATCCCCCAAAAGCTGAGACACCTCACGAGCTCACAGAGATCCCAAGATTTCCTGGACTCCCTAAAGACTCAGAAGCTCCTCCGTCCATGGCCATTCTGGCAAGAGCCGGATCTACTTCGAGCCCAGCGCTCAGCGATTCTCACCAACTTCCATATCCCCATGGGCCTCAAACGCGAGGCGAAATGTCGCAAAGCAGAGACCCAGGAGGTCAGGGTCAAGGACGAGGAGATGAACGAGTGGGAAGCTCTACCTGTCGATCCAGCCAGCATGCCAATGGACAGCAGATCGCAGCGGACGCTCTGAGCAACCCAGGGGCGTACGCAACTACTGCCTGCCGGACGGCTCCCGGGGAAGTTTGTTCGCCGCACTGCAGAGGACGGGAAGAACTACTGGATTCCTGGACGAGCACTTGCCGCAGTGGGAAATGTGGGCGATAAAGCTACACCAAGCCTGGACCTGCACGACGAGATGGAGCAAATTAACCTGCAAGATCTTCCTGAAAACCATCGAAAAGCAGAACTGGAAGCTGGACGGAATGGGACTTCCTGTGCCGCTCTTCCCGATGAAGTTCCCGACCTGGAAGCCAGACGAGAAGCCCAGCGTCAAGCAGGAGAAGATTCTAGCTCGAAGGAGACCAGGAGCAAGACCGCAGCAGTCTCCCAGCAGAACAAGGAGCTTCGCGAAAACATCGAGATCGCAAGGTCAGATTTCTTGACGAAGTACCAAGACGTAAATGCCTTTGCGGGTACCGACACGGAGGATACCTACAGGCTGCTCAGCATGATGACAATCGCGAACCACCTCAAGCCGCTTTGCAAGCTCTACGAGCTGACCCAGGGCGGCACGAAGGAGGAGATCCGCGACCGACTGGTAGCCTACATCCCCCAGCAGCTTGGCGACGCCAAGCCGACTGTCAGGTCAAGAAGGAGCTGGATACGACGGTCAAGAAGCAGGATATCAAGCTCTACGTTCTCGGCGGTGCGATCAAGGGCCACTTCGCACAAGGCTGCATGGCTCCGGAGTGTCGCGCGCAGCGAGGGACGTCCAAGAACGAGCCGATCGTGAAGGTCAACCCCTACGGCAGGTGCCACAAGATGTGCGCGGAGGAGATCACGAAGAAGGAGTAGATGAAGTTCGCGAGGGGCGAGTTCGTTGGAGTCGAGATGACCGCCGACCTCTCAAAGGACACCAGCGCCTAGCCATCAGGTCTGCGACGCGCAGTTTCAAGACCGCCTTGTTCGGAGCCACGCGCGCCCTCTCCACCGTCGGCCGCCTGACCACGGTCGGAGCCCGCGCGCCCAAGGGCTCCAACCTCGGCCAGCCCGCGCGAGGAGGAGGGTCTGCGAGTTCGAGCGGTTCGGATCACATGGCGACTTCGCCCGCAGCAAGCCGCAGGGCTACCACAAGGCCAAGTGCGTGCTCGACGAGAAGCGAGCAGGGCCACTTGTCAGCACTCCACCCTGCGGGCCGCGGTCAATCATCCAGAACGTCAACCAGCGCACTGAGCAGCAGAAGGAGAACCTTCGGTAGAAGCGCCTGAAGAGCCAGCGGATCTTCGAGAACAGCATGCGTCTCATCGAACACCAGGTCAACGACCTCAAGGGCTCGGCCAACGCTGAGCAGCCGCATGACAGCAACTCTTGGCAGAAGCCCTGCCGGAAGGATCTGCGCAAGCTGCTACCCTACGAGGTAATCGTGGACGGCTGCGCCTGTGGACTACGAGCCCCCGCCACCGGAGAGCTCATGAAGAAGCGCTGGAAGTTCCTCACAAACAACAAGCGCATCTGGGCATCCCTTCAACCACTTCAATGTCGCGGAGGACACTATCATGGAGAAATTGAAGGAAGTTCCACACCGAAGCCTCAGTAAGATATCCGAAATTGCTCTGCCGAAGAATCCTGAGGGCGCTTGCGCGCAACGCTAACCTAAGCTACCTCGAAGAGGAGATCGTGAACTGACACTGCTTGGCAGCTACACAGCAGCCCCCCGCGGAGCCGACCCCGGAGTCGGCAGAGGAGCTGCTGCCACCTAAGGGCGGGAAGGACTCCCTCGGCCTAACGAAGGACGCGATCAAGAAGTTGGAGAGCTACGTGAGACTGGGACACCTTCCACGTGCTAACTTCATTCGCTATCTTCGAGATCGAGGTGCCCGACCTGAAGTTCTACGGATCGCTCGCAACTTCAAGTGCGACATTTGCGATGCCCACCGACCTCCTAGGAAGCGGCCACCAGCATCATCAGCAGAGTTACCGCAGAATGGTCACGAAGTTCTAGTTGACGCCTTCTCTTGGGTCCGTCGCAACACGAACGCCAGCGCCATGGCGCTCGCGGTTCTGGGCGCGGGTTCCGACATTCTCCACGTGCGTTCGATCGACGAAAAGAAGATACCAGAACAACTACGTCAAGTACGAGCTGGAGACCCACGACACACTTTCGCCACCAAGTGGTTCCCATGGACGGGGCGCCCCAAGGTCATGCGCTACGATCCAGCCGGCAGCGCAGTCTCCGACGAGTTCAGGGAGTGCGTCGAGAGCCAAGGCATCTACTGCCCCCCGTGCGCTGCTGACGCACACTGGCAGATCGGGAACATCGGGCGCGCCATCGAAGCCTTCGAGGAAGTCCTCGACGCCTTCGACAAGATGATCTCTACCGACGTGTCCACCAGCGAGATGTTCGGCCTCCAGACGGCAGCCCGCAACGACCTCGCGTGGATCGACGGCTTCAGCCCGCTTCAGCGCTACGCCGGACGGACGCCTACTGGGACGAAGGTCATCCTCGACGACGAGCCGAACAACCTACCGTTCAACAGCGCCGAGCTACAGGACAGCACGTTCGCTAGAGGTGCTCAAATACTTCGACTATCCCGACTGACCCACATCCTGACCGAGAGCTCCAATAGAGTCAAGAGGGCAAAGGCGGCGAAGTTCTGGTCCTTCAAGAAGTACAACTGCGGCGACTAAGCTTTTGTCTACCGGAGGCCCCCACCCGGAGCCTGGAGGAAGAAGGGGCAGCCGCGATCAATGCCCTGACGAAGGCGCTGGTACGGACCTGGGCGAGTACTTTGTCACGATCCCGCTAGCTCTGGACACCGACCTGGTCTACCTGGCGCAGTCGTGAACATCACCCTGGTAGGACGGCTCTACCGAGTTGCACCCGAACAGCTACGACCAGCTACACCATCTGAAGAAGCTATGGGCACGCTCCGATCCCGGAGCGAGCAGCCAGGCAGCTGGACGTTCGGGGAGGTACAGAAGCAGCTCGACACGAACGAAGTGATCGACCTCACCAACGAGCCGCCCCCTAGCAGTGACGACCTCGCCTACGACGACGGGAATCTACAAGCACACGAACTGTCGAGCACAACCCAAGCGGACCCTGGGCAGTTGATGAAGATGACGACCGATCTCTACCATCTCAAAGAGCACCTCAGAGCTACGCGCCTGCACCAAGGCCGTAAGGATCCTCAGCCGCAGGGGCATAGATCCAGCACGTATTCTACGCTGTCTTTTCGTGCCCACCTGGAAGAAGGGTGAACAAGATAATGTTCTACGAAGGAAAGCTCGATTTATGGTACTCGGTTTCAGCGATCCCGATCTACTACATCTACGTACAGAATAACCATTTGCTTCTCGACGTGCTCGTCAACTTCCACTAGCTATGGCCACCCGGCACAAGTGGCTACTGGAGAAGGCCAACGCAGTGACGGCATTCCTTCAAAACGAAACCGACGAGGAGAAGCGGAAGATCTACGCCGACCCGGCCGCGGATGTTCGCCGGGCTTTCGGCATGAAGGGGGACGAAGTGCTGCAATTCCTCAAGCCGATGCACGGATTCGCACACGCACCTCGGAAGTGGTGGCTACACTTCCAAGGAGACGCTCAACAAGCTCAAGACAGAGGCCATCCAGTGCGAGCGCTGCGTCTGGGTCATCAGGGGCGACGACGGCAA